GTATTATTTCCTGCCAGGCACTGTGTGAAGCCAGTTGCACACAGCTTTGGTTGAATCCTTACGAGGTGCTTTTATCTGCTTATTTTACAAAGTGAGACACTGAGGTTCAGAAAGGTTACATGTCACTGGTGGAGGCAGGACTCACACCAGAGGCCGCCCGAGCCCAAAGCTCACGCTAGGATTAATCACCAGAGTAATTGGTCTATGGAGACACATCTAGACCTCGCTTTCCTCGTGTTTCTCCCTCTGTCCTCTCTCCTCCCACCTAGACCATGTGTATGCGCGTGTGCACGAGTGTGCATATCGACACACCACTCCACCTCATTCCATCCCACGGCAGGCCCCGGGGTCCTCTGAGGCAGGTGGCGGGCTTCAGGTTCTGGGGAAGGTTTTCGGGTACGTTTGCAGAGGATGGAAGTTCCTGCCCAATCTGCTCCTTAACCACACTGACTGAGCCCCAGGCTCCGAGTCAGGGCAGGCTCCTTGGGGGAGGTGATGGGACTGGGGATGTGGATTCGGGAGGTAAAGTAGTAGAAGGCAGACAGCAGACTTCTCCTTACCAGGAGGACAGAGGCACAAAGGAATTCACAGAATGTTCAGAGAATGGGCAACAGAGGCAATGAGAGAGCAGAGGCAGGCAGGAACTTTGATTTTCAGGCCAAGGAGCTTAGGGTTTGTCTGGGAGGTGGTAGGGAGCTACATAAGGACCTGGGAAGGTCGGTATGTAATGTGATCTTTCCCACGGTTCCCGAGCCTGCTGCAGGGGAGGGTACAGGCCTGTCTCCTGCATGACTGTGCCCTTGGGATGCACAGCTCCAGTCTCTCGCCCCCTGCCTTCCCGATAGAGACACTTTTATATCCAGAGTCATTCTGGCTTTCTGGCTCTGGCGCCTGATTCCTCCTCCTTAAGCTATCTGAGACACCCTCCTGCCCCCGTGGGGTTGGCACCGTGCCCTAAATTATACTGACAGACATTCTTTGGCATATTTCAATCAGTAGTTCTCAAACATTAGGCTGCACCAGAATGGAGTGACCAACCATCTGGGTTTGTGCTAAAACCAGCAATGTCCCAGGAAAAGTGGGATGAGTTGGTCACCCACCTTCCGAGTTGCAGATTCAGCACATCTCGGATGGGGCACGAGAATGTGCGTATCTACCAAGCTCCCAGGTGATGTGGATGCCTTGCGGGAGCTATACTTCGAGAACTTCTGCTTGAAATATTTCTTGAATCTGGGTCTCTAGGGTAGAGCCCAAAACCTGAGTTCTAAACAAGTTCTTCTTTGATTCTGATGCCCTTACAAGTTTGAGGCCCTGTACCTTGGGTTCACGAGTGGTTTCTTCCCTTTGAGTCCTCTACTAGCCTTAGTTAGCTGCAAGCACCTTAGCAGGAAGCGAGTTGCAACCCAGTGAGAGCCAGGTCTAGGGATGAGACAGAGGAGGCAGCGTCAGGAAGCGGGAGTGAAAGTGTCAGGCCCTGGATATGACCCTGGCGTTGGCAACGATCCTGGGCCCAGGTTGCGGATAGAGGAGATGCTACTTCTCTAGCAGCAGTAGCAGCCCATGGTCTGGGCACATCTCCTCTGACCAAGTTCCCTGCATCTCTTTCCTCTTCCTACCAGTTCAAAGTGTCAAGAATAAGCCTCTCTTCTTTGCCGACAAACTTTACAAATCTATGAAGGTAAGAAGACTGACTTGTCTGTCTGTTTCCCTTCGAGCACTTCTGCCCCCACAAACACAGACGTGCGCCATCCCCTGGATCAGGACTTGGGTTTGTTTCCACCCATTTGGTATGTAGCAGCATCTGCCTCGTGCCTGGTTCTAGGAGGGTAGTTCTCAACCCGGGGTTACGTTGCCCCCCGGGAAACACGTGACAACGTTCAGACTCATTTCGGTTGTCACAACTTGGGGAGTGTTGCTTTTTGCATCTGGTGGGTAGAGAGCAGGGACGCTGCTAAACATCCTACAACGTACAGGACAGATCCCCTCAACAAAGAACGATCTGGTCCCAGGCGCCAATGTTGAGAAACTTATTCTGGGGACTCAGGGCTGAAAAGGACAGTCTCTGCCCCTTGGAGCTCACATTGTAGCAGATGACACAGTGTCTCCTATGACCAACGATCACGAAAGGAAGCAAGTGCTCAGCTCTGGGACTAGCCCTGGCTTCCTGAAAACCCAAGCCACTCTGGCCACCCTCTCAGCCCAGCAAGTGGAGTCTCAGCTGCTGACAGAGCCTGCGCAGGCAGTCTGGTGGGAGTGAGCCTGAGAGCCCTGTCAGCCTGCTGTCCACAAACATGACAGCCATCTCTTGAGCCCCCGCCATGTGCCGGCTCTGATTCCTCAGCTGGCGTTCAGAGCTCCTTGGGGAGCAGAGGTGGGCCCTGGCTGCCCATGTATTCTGTGTCCTGTGTCTGCTCCTTGGGCCCTGTATTAGTTTCTCAGGGCTGCTGTCCCAAATTAAGTGACAACAGAAATGTATTCTTTCACGATTCTAGAGGCCAGAAGTCCAAAATGAAGGTGTTGGTAGGACTGGTTCCTTTTGGAGGCCCTGAGGGGGAAACTCTCCCATGCCTTTCTCCTAGCTTCGGGTGGGCGTCTGGAATCCTGGTGTTTCCTGACTTAAGCATGAGCCCCTCCAGTCTCTATCTTTATCTGTGTGTATGTCCATGTGTCCTCTTCCTGTAAGGACACCAGTCATTGGATCTAGGGCTCACCCAAATGCAGTATATCCTCAACTAATTACATGTGCTAAGACCCTATATCCATATTAGATCACCTTGTAAGGTTCTAGGTGGACATGAATTTGGGGGGCACACTCTTCAACTCATACAGGCTGTTCTTGCCTCTGTCTGGCCAGTCCTGGCACAGGGGAGTTTGAGTCAGGACTGTTTGTGGAAGAGAGGGGCAGGATGTCCCATCCTGGTTTTGGAGGGAAAAGGGAGAGAGGCAGAGGGACACCCATGAGTTCCTGCCTGACCTAACCCCGTTTCTCCTCCTGCCCTGTGTTTCTCCCTGTCACCTGGCTCCACCAGGGTGCTGGCACAGAGGAGAAGACCCTCACCAGGATCATGGTCTCCCGGAGTGAGATCGACCTGCTCAACATCCGGTGGGAGTTCATTGAGAAATATGACAAGTCTCTCCACCAAGCCATTGAGGTGAGGGGCGGGGTGAGAGGTCAGTGGGGGAGCGGTGAGTGTCAGATGCTTGAACATAAATTAGAAGTCCTTTTTATTCCCAGAATGTTACCTCTTAGAACAGCCAAGACATTGCTAAATGAGAGGAGACCTGCCTCACTCTTTATACCAAAATAGATTTCAGATGGATGGATCAAAGGCTTATAAAGATTTCCAAATAAAACAAGAGTCTTGGGGCTTCCCTGGTGGTGTGGTGGTTGAGAATCCGCCTGCCGATGCAGGGGACACGGGTTCGTGCCCCGGTCTGGGAAGATCCCACATGCCGCGGAGCGGCTGGGCCCGTGAGCCATGGCCGCGGAGCCTGCGTGTCCAGAGCCTGTGCTCCGCAATGGGAGAGGCCACAATGGTGAGAGGCCCACGTACCGCAAAAAAAAAAAAGAGCTTTTTTTTTTGGCTTTTTAAAAGCAATTTTATTGAAGTGTAATTTAAGTATCATAAATTTTATGATATTTACTCGTTTAAGGGCATCAGTAATTTTTAGTAAAGTTAATGAGTTGTACAGCCTTCACCACAATCCAGTGTTAGAACATTTTCATCACCCCACTGATGTCCCTTGTACCTGTTTACCTATATCCACCCCCAGCCCTAGGCAACCTACAAGTGACTTTCTGTCTCTATGGATTTGCCTTTTCTGATTATCTCATGTAAGTGGAATCATGTAATATGTGATTTTTTATATCTGACTTTTTTCATTTATGAAGCCCATTTCTTCTTAAAGTTTGATGCTATACTTGGTTGACAAGACCATGAGGAAGCTCACAGGCAGTCTCATACAGACTTGGTGTAAATGTAACTTGGTAGCACATCTTCATTATTTTTTTCTTCCAGTTTTATTGAGATATAATTGACATATAGCATTATATAAGTTTAAGGTGTACAGCATGATGAGTTGACTTAGATACATCATGGAGCGCTTATCACAATAACTTCAGTGAACATCCATCTTGTATAGATGCAAAATTAAAGAAATAGTACATTTTTGTGTGTGTGTGATGAGAACTCTTAGGATTTACTCTCTTAACTTTTATATATAACATACAGCGGTGTTAATTATATTTATCATGTTGTACATTACATTCCTAATACTTATCTGTCTTATAGTTTGTGCCTTTTGACCGCCTTCATCCAGTTGCCCCTCCCCCACCCCCTACCTCTGGTAAACACAAATCTGATCTCTGTTTCTGAGTTTGTTTGTATGTTTGTTTGTTTTTGAAGTATAATTGACCTACAGCACTAGGTTAGTTCCTGTTATACAACATAGTGATTTTTTTCTATGCATTTCAGAATGATCACCATAAGTCTAGTTACAACGTGTCACCATACAAAGATAGTAGTTATTGACTGTACTCCCCGCGCTGTACATTTCATACCCATGACCCATTTATTTTGCAACTGGAAGCTTGTGCCTCTAATCTCCCTCACCTTTTTCTTTCCTCCCCCTACCAGCTCTCCTCTGGCAACCACCTATTTGCTCTCTGTATCTATGACTCTGTTCCTTTCTTTCTTATGTTCATTTATTTTGTTCGTTAGATTCTGAGTATAAGTGAAACCATACAGTATTTCTCTTTCTCTTTCTTACTTATTTCACTTAGCATATGTTCTAAGTGAACATATGGCAAACATTTCATTTTTTTATGGCTGAGTAATATTCCATTGTATGTATGTACCACATCTTCTTTATCCATTCATCAATGGATGGGCACTTGGGTTGCTTCCATATCTTAGCTATTGTAAATAGTGCTGCTCTGAACATAGGAATGCATATATCTTTTCTAACTATTTTTGTTTTCTTTGGATAAATACCCAGGATTGAAATTGCTGAGTCATATGGTAGTTCTATTTTTAATTTTTTTCTTCACATGACAATTAAAAATATGGTGACTTTATTTCTATCTTCTTACAGTCCCCAGTATCACATCTGGTAAGAATCTTCATATCTGTAACACAAAAATATCTCAAGAAAGCATGTTACAAGACAGTATATATAAGCAACAGTTTGGCAGAATTCTAGTTCATATCCCCCCCCCAAAAAAATTTTTTTTTAATTCAAAAATGACAGTTAACTTTATCTAACATATGTTATACTTACTACTTAAAATACCATGCTCTAGTTAAATAATTCATCAACAACACTGTATACAAATAAAATATTACACAAAATATATTTAAGAAAATGTTTTGGTATTTGATCTGAACAATAAATAAAAACACAGGCACTTCTACACTGAGACAGGAAAGTAGTCACTACTCAGGATAATAATTTTGTATAAGCAACACATAACCATATGGCAAGAATAGAATTCTGCAGTTTTAAACTGACAAACCACTGATAAAAAGGTCTGCCACTTCAGTCTTTTCACTTAAAGTTCAAAAGTTACATACGCTTTCCCGGTTCACAATGAAAAATCATAAACACAATATGGTTGCCAGGGTCAATTCAATCTTCAGTTTGAAGATTATGGAATCATACTCATTATTTTCAAATACTGAAAAAGAGAGAACTATCACGATACCACCCAGCAAACGAAATACAAGATAGTTAAGCCTCCTCCTTATTATGACCATAAGACCATAACAAGATAAACTGGATGGATGTCACACAGTGATTCCCATTTTGCAAAATTGATTGATTAGATTAACACAAGGAAATGTTGTAGCGGCAGGAAATTTTGAAAGAAGTCAAATTTTTCTAGACAATTTTTAAAAATTCATCCAAATTTCATGAAAATGTTATTCCATTTCACAGAAAGCACTGAGTCATATATAACAGTGTCTTTGTAGCCAATAGGTTTGTGAATACCTAAATCACAGATAGTTCACTCATTATAATGGGAAATAGGGTTATCATCATATGAGAGCAAAACAAAAATAAAACAAAGATAACACGATCAAATTCCAGAAACATGATTTCAGATGACAAGGGGGACAAGTTAGAAAACAATGACCACTAGCCAGCAGGAAGGGTCAGAACCATTCGTCCTGTCATATCCTACAAAAAAACTAGGATCTTCTGCTTTCCCTCTTCAGAAAGTACTACACTGAAAGGTTTAGAGACCCTCATATGGATACTACTCATAAAGGCAATTTTGATGGTATTACATAGAAATTACCTCTAATGTGAGAGAACATAACATGGGAACTATTCGAGATACATCTTTCTATGCAAAATTTAGTTTGTACATAATTTAGCAACTTAAATAAGCATTTTGCAACTGAGACCAAATATCAATCATCTCTTGAGGTTTTCTACTATGTACCAACATCAAACCTACATAGGAGCAAATGTTATTCCTGTTTTTCTCTTCTATATCAAATGTCCTGAAGCCTTTGTGTTTCTCTGGAATGAGGCCAAGTTTCTGAAGGCACATTCCAGTATAAACAGCATCGATGGGGTAGAGAAGGACCTGGCCAGTTACACTGGCCTCAGAGCCAGGTGGCTGGACCTGGCCAGTTACACTAGCCTCAGAGCCAGGTGGCTGGAGTAGAGGAATCCACCTCCCCCTGCATAAGGCGGGTAGACGCCAGTGTAAAGAACTTCCGGGACGTAGTACTTCAGTTTCTTATCCTGACGAGGTCCAGCACTGGGAATCACATCACCTATAAACAAATCTTTGGCTTTGTTCTTGGATAAGCTATTCAAGTGATTCAGGATGTGACGGGTGTTCACAAAAACGTCATCATCGCCCTTGAACTCAGCATTTGGGCAGGAAGTGCTCACCCACCTGAGAAGGAGTACTTCTTTCAGAGATAAATTGAAGAGGGTGTCTCTGTAGTTCCACATAAGAATGTCTTGGTGCTTCTCACTCTCAAATTTCAGCTCATCTGAAAGGTCAGGATGGTTGTCCCCTGCGGGGGTCTGGCCCAGTAAGAAGACTCGCACCACTGTTTGGTTCCCCACATTGGTTTCTTTGCCCCAAGATTCCCAAATCACTTGCCTTCTATCGAAATGTGAAGTAAGGGACTTAATCGCCAGCAATAAGAAGGGCTGCTTTGCACACTTACCTGGTTGATCTATAAGCAGTGAATAATTTCAACATCTCAAATACAACAGAAAGTCTTTAAATCTGTCTGGCAAACTGTCGAAACCTGAAACTACTGATGTGACCCTCAGGTCAGGTTCACCATAATTCAGATGGCTTATGTTGGAAAATCCTTATGCTTCCCCTGTCTGGTTGGCTAACATGTTCAAAATGGGATTGTACCTCCTGTTCAGCTTCTCTTGTTCCCTGTTCCAATATGCCTTGGGAGGGTCAGATATCTTCCAGAGCTTTTCTTTGGGTATTATTAATTCCCCTCTTCCATCTTTTTCTTGGCTACTGCTTTTGGAGACTTCCACAATCAAATAAATGAAGACATTTACCATCATCAGGATTCCCAACAACTTTATTCTTCGACTTCCACCACTCATTTCTCATATCTTGTCCGGGAACAGCTCTTGCTCGGCGGGGCCGGGACGGGCGATCACAGCGGCATCCGCGTCCAGGCAGCTCCGCGGGGCTCCGCCCTGCGACCGCCGCCGCTGCTCTCGCTCCACGCGTTGCACCCGTGATGGGCGGCTGGGTGGTGTCTGAGGCGGGACTGCTTGGCCTCGGCTTGGCCCCGGCTCAGCTCACCTTCGGCGTTTGTTCTATTTTTAATTTTCTGAGGAACCTCCATACTGTTCTCCATAGTGGCTGCACCAATTTACATTCCCACCAACAGTGCAAGAGGGTTCCCTTTTCCCCACATCTTCACCACTTGTTATTTGTTGTCTTTTTGATAATAGCCATTCTGACAGGTATGAGCTGATGTCTCCTTGTGATGTAAATTGGTAGCACATCTTTAAAGGGTAGTTTGGCAGTTTCAAAATTTTAAATGCATATACTTTGGACTTGATAATTCTACTTGTAGGAATTTATCCTACGGACGTAGCCACACGTGTTCTCAAAGACACGTATGGGAATATTTATGCCAGCGTTCTTTTATAGTAGCAAAGGATTGGAAGCCCTTCATACAGAACCGGTTAAATAAATTACAGTGCATCCATATGATAGAGTACAGTACAGCCGTGAAAAAGCATGAGGAGGCTCTATGTGCTGATTTGGGATCTTCTCTAAGTCAAAAATTATGGCCCAGAATAGTATGAATGCTCTGCAGAAAAGGGACGTTATACATATATACATATTTGTATATGCATATGGAAAAGCATTGCTAGAAAATCACACAAGTAAATACAACAGTGGCTACCTCTTGATTTAGGAAGTTAGGGGTTGGGGTAGGGGGGAGACTTTTATTGTATAATCCTTTGATTTGAATTGTTTACAACAATGATTTTTTTTTTTAAGAGGAAAGTTCCTCTCTTTTTTTAATACATAACTTTATTTATTTATTTACTTACTTACTTACTTTTGGCTGTGTTGGGTCTTTGTTGCTGCCCTTGGGCTTTCTCTAGTTGTGGCAAACGGGGGCTACTCTTCGTTGTGGTGCGGTGGCTTCTCTTGTTGTGGAGCACGGGCTCCAGGCACGCAAGCTTCGGTAGTTGTGGCACGTGGGCTCAGTAGTTTTGGCTCGCAGGCTCTAGAGTGCAGACTCAGTCGTTGTGGCCACGGGCTTAGTTGCTCCATGGCATGCGGGATCTTCCCGGACCAGGGCTCAAACCTGTGTCCCATGCAGTGGCAGGCGGATTCTTAACCAGTGCGCCACCAGGGAAGTCCTGATATATTATTTTTAATCATATATCAAAAATTACAGAAACAAAAAATATAAAAATGACAGGAGCCCCCTAAAAAGAGGGAGAAAATCTGTTCCCTCCCCCGCATAGCCCTGTCGTATGCCAGACAATACAACATAAATCCAATGATGGTCACATAAATTCTTGCAAGGGCCTGTTACCCAGTAAGTGCTCGATAATGTTTGTTCAAATAAGGAATCCCGTAACACAGGGGTCCCCAATCCTGGGCCGCGGATCGGTACTGGTCCGCGGGCTCTTAGGAACAAGGCCGCACAGCAGGAGGTGAGTGGCGGGTGAGCAAGTGAAGCTTCACCTGTCGCTCCCCATCGCTCGCAATCCCGCTGAACCATCCCCTCCCCTCGCCCCCCACCATGGTTCGTGGGAAAATTGTCTTCCACGAAACCGTCCCCGGTGCCAAAAAGTTTGGGGACCACTGCCGTAACACTTGTGTTAATGGCCGTGGGGGGAGGGTTAGCAGGGTGCAAGGCAGCCATGGGAGGAGACAAGAATAGAGGCAGGAACACTTCACAGAGGAGGGGGCATCTGATGGCAGACAGGATTTGGGGGCAGCGTAGAGGGCGTGCTGGGTGGAGCAATGGTAGGTATGTAGGTAGTAAGATGACCAAGATGCTCCTGGAAGGAAGGGGGGAGGTGAAGCCACAGAGCTTCATGAGGGTCAGACCACACAAGACCTTGAAGCCAGGCCTAGAGCTTGGACATTTTCCTGAGGATGATGGGGAGCCACCGAAGGGACATGGTCACATTTACGTACTAGGGAGACATCCAGGCTGCCAGCGGCTGGGAGGAGGGGGCCTTGAGGCCATCAAGATTGTTTCACTCACTCTGCTCTCCCTCTGTCCCTGCCAGGGCGACACCTCCGGTCACTTCCTGAAGGCCTTGCTGGCTGTCTGTGGAGGCAAGGATTAGGACCGCCGGCGTTGGCGGGCACCTCTGCTAAGAAGTGGTCATCCCCCCGCCACGACCCAGCCTGATACTCCAGCTTCAGAGACTAAAAAAGGGACAGGGGTGGGGGGAGGGGCCAGGGTGGGCTCTTGTCTTCAACTGGGGTTTAGGAAAAGCTCCCACTCCCACTAGCCAGTAAGGGCGTGGCATGGTCACTCCTACTCACGTCTGAGTGGCTGAAGAACCGTAGCCATTGATCCCGTCCACCTCCTCTCCCCATCTTCCTCCTCCTGCCTTCCCAGCTTCCGTCCCTTGTCACAGTCCCTGCCCTGGTTTGGGCTTTGTCGAAGCCAAAAACATTCTGAGGCTCTGAACGTGAAGCGAGTGATGTGTGTGCTTTGCACGGTGGGGTGTGGTGGCAGGTGCCAGTTCTGGGGGCGGTGGGGGAGGAAGAAATATCTTCGGGCCAACTGACAGTCCTCCCACCGTTTCACCACCACCTCTGTCCCGGTTATTGTGCTAGACCGCTGAACCAGGAGTCCAAATACCTGTGTTCAGATTTGTATCCGCCACACACTTGCTTTATGACCTTGCAGCAGTCTCTTTCCCTCCCTGAGTCTCCTTGTTCTTGGCTACAAAATGAGAGAGTTCGACAAAAAGATCTTGGCTTTCTAACATTGACATTCTAGGATGTGCCTCCAAATCATTCCCTTTCCATTTCTTCTCTCTTTAAATAAAAAGAGACATACAGACACATAAATACATTTCCAAGAGGGATCTGTGGTTTTGATCTAGAACCTGCAAGCCCAGATTGTTGCCATTAGAGCTGAGGTGTTAACCTGCCCAGGAGTGACTTTCTATCTTCCCATCCCTTCCTGGGAATCCCAAATGAGGGTCTGAGCTCAGGTCAGCCTGGGAAGGCTGGCGCAGCCGGGTCTGGGTCTCGCGTCCGCTCTCCTCCCTCTGCTACCAGGATGTTTCTCTGTGCACGCTTCATCCATGACATCCGAGCCCAGACTTCCTCTTTTGAACTCTTCAGGGGCACCAGATGTGATCGTGATCTGGGGAGGCCTGTGGAAAGCTTCCAGTTTGTGAAGATCAGTGATCAACGGGAGGTCAGCTGCACTTTCTCCATCTCCCTTCCCCCAGCTCTGCTTCTGCTCTGGGACTCAGATCTAAAGTTATCTAGCGACCACGGATTTAAAGTTATCCAGTGACCATGGCATGTGGGTGCCTACTGGCTGGAGGGCTCTGCTCCCTGGCCCGGCTGACCTGCCCTCTCCTGCAGTTCAGCGTGTGTTTGTTGTAGCTGCTGAGCAGGGAATGGCGTGGGGACGTTGGGAAATGTGCTGCGTCTGGTCTATTTTCTTTTCTTTTTTTCTTATTTATTTATTTATTTTTTGGCTGCTTTGTGCATGGCATGCGGGATCTTAGTTCCCCGACGAGGGATCAAACCCATGCCCCCTGGCAATGGAAGCGCAGTCTTAACCACCAGACCGCCAGGGAAGTCCCGAGTCTGGTCTTGTGTGACCTTGGACCAGCCCCTGCCCTCACTGGGCCTCAGTGACTCCATTTGTACAGTGAGGGGGTGGACCTAACAGTCTCGAAGAGCCCTTTCTTCATCTCTGATGTAATGAGTCTGAAAGTCAGGCAGTTTACCTTGTGTCTTCCCCACTTCCTTCCCTCTACCACGCTGTGAGCCCAAACCCCCATGAGGGTCAGCCGAGAGCTTGTTTGACTCTTTGCCCAACTTAATTGAACTGTTACCGACGATAAATTAACACAGTGGTTCAGAGCTGTGGAGTCAGACCTTTGCCACTAACTGGCTGTGATCATGTTATCTCTGTGACCCTCAGTTTCCTCGTTTGTAAGACAGGTCCCAGTCCTACCTATGGCACAGCCTTTGTGGGGTAAATGAAATGATTCGTAGAAGTTTGGGGCCGGGCTTCCCTGGTGGCGCAGTGGTTGAGAGTCTGCCTGCCGATGCAGGAGACACGGGTTCGTGCCCCGGTCCAGGAAGATCCCACATGCTGCAGAGCGGCTGGGCCCATGAGCCGTGGCCGGTGAGCCTGCGCTTCCGGAGCCTGTGCTCCGCAACGGGAGAGGCCACAACAGTGAGAGGCCCGCGTACCACCAAAAAAACTAAACCAAAAAAAAAAAAAAAAAAAAAGAAGTTTGGGGCCATCTGGCTCGGAGTCAGCTGCCAGCACTACCTGCCCTGAGCCAGGCCCCATTGTAGAAGCCGGGAGGTGGCTCCCAAGACGTTTCCTTGAGCTTTGTTTTCAAAAAGTCGTCAGCCGCGCATCACAGAGGCATCAGAAGACAAATATGGAAGCGCCTTAAAAGTATGCACCGAGTGGGGGGCTTCCCTCGTGGCGCAGTGGTTGAGAGTCCGCCTGCCGATGCAGGAGACACGGGTTCGTGCCCCGGTCCGGGAAGATCCCACAAAAAAAAAAAAAGTATGCACCGAGGGGGGACTTTGCTGCTCCCATGGTTAAGACTCCGTGCTCCCAATGCAGGGGGCACGGGTTTTGATCCCTAGTCGGGAAACTGAGATTCCCCTCATGCCACACAGCGCAGCCAAAAAAAAAAAAAAAAAACCTCCGAGGGAAAAATAGGCTGGGGATGGAAAGGAAAGAGTGATGGAATCTGAGGCCATGGGAAGACCTCATGAGGCTGAGGGGAATACACAAGTGGAGAAACCAGGAATTTCTAGAATTTCTGGAAAGCAGGAAGGATAGCTCAAACGGAGCACTGGCCGTGTACCGGACACCACACTAATCCCTCAACATGCAGTTTTCACTTGTTAACTTGAATTTTCAGTTAAGGTATGTTGCATTCTGGGATAGGTCAGCAGTAGGAGGGAGACCCTCAGCGTTTTGAGGGGAGGTAGATGAGATTAGAAATGGGAGTTTGCATCCACTTAGAGGACCTTGTAAGTCAGGATTTTATCTCATAACCCAGGGGGAGCCTTTGGAGGTTCTTGGCCGGGGAAGGTAAGCCTCTGAATTTAAGGAAAGACTATGAAGGGAGGGTGGCCAGTTGGGAGGCTACTACAACAGTTGCGCTAAGTCCCAGGTACCTGCAGAGCAAACCCCTCTTTTTTCTTGGAGCTGTGGCAGAGGAGGGAGTAACCACTGTTCTGAATCCAAGGCACCTCATTCATTCATTCATCCATCCACTCATGCACCTTATGCGTACTGAATGCCTCCTATGTGCCATGCCGTATGCAAGATGCTAAAGATAGAACAACTTAGACCGTTGTGGTCCTAATCCTTAAAAGATGATGTTCAAGTGTCCCTCCCATCCAGCCGTCTCCAAAACTGTACTAAACAACACTGGAGGTTGTTTCTGTGGCCAAAGTTCAACGGAGAGAAGTGGTGGGGACTAAATTAAAACTAAAAGGAAAGAGAAAGCAGAAGCCCAGACCGCTGCTGTCTCAAAGTGGGAGCACAGGAGGATGGTCATGATGCTCTAGTGTGGAAGGGACCCTCAGAAATTCTCACCTCCCTCTCAGCCAGACAGACAACTGTCACTTCACAGAGAGGAAGCAGCAGGCCTAGGGTCACATAGCCTTTCAGCGGCAGAAAACTGGAACCGTGCAGTCCTGGCCCCGGTCCAGTGCTTCTGTCAACACCCTGCACGTCCTTCCACTTTCTTCAGTCTTCCCCTCTGA